TCTTTTACCCTATCTTGACACCCTGGCAGATCCAACTTTCCAACAAGATAATGCCCGACCACATGTTGCAAGAGTCACAATAGACTTCTTTCAACATGATATCACATTGTTACCATGGCCACCAAGATCTCCCGACTTATCCCCACTTGAGCACGTGTGGGATATGATGGGTAGGAGATTGCTCAATTTGCAACGTCCTCCTCAGACTCTAGAAGCACTTCGAGAGGAGTTGGCGGTTGTCTGGAATGAGATACCACAGGAGGACATTGACCACCTGATCAGAAGCATGCCTAGGCGCGTTGGAGAATGCCGTGCAATCATTTTGAAATTTGTATCATTTACTTATTATGCTTCATTAAGTACTTATACAAAATTTTATTAAAATAAAACCATTTAAACTGGGTGTTCGGATTTATATGTCACTTAGTATATATATCATGTACCGGTCACTATCATCAAGTATCTACACCAACTACCAGTAGGATTACTGACTAACTGACAAAATGTGTTAGAATTTCAATTTTTATAGATATACTCGTATAACCACGTCAAGGTACTAAGAAACACTGTTGCCAGATGAAGCTTCATTGTAGCTAACTTCCTACCAAATCAGAGTGGTGCAAACTTTTTTGTAGTGGTAGTAGTACCATACTATCAGAGAATCAGTTAGTACGAGAGCAGTCCGATAAGTAATTATCATACAAAAGAAAAACTAAAATTTTGGAAGAGTAGCGATTTAGTTCTCTACATATTCTCCTTTTACCTCGATACACTTCCAGCGATGCTCCAACTTCTTTAACCCGTCTGAAAAATACATTTGCAAAGTAGGCCTCTGTGGGGGCGATAACATCCTCATTCGACTCAAATTTCTGCCCGGCGAGTGACTTTTTCAAGTTTGGAAACATAACACAATTTGGCCGTGGCGACTTCGGAGATGTGAGCCGGTGCGTTGCCATGGTGGAAGACGGACTTTATCTCCATCTAGTCTTATTGTAATATTTATTTATATTTCAACTATTTTTTATGTTTTGTGAGTGTACTTTAGGTTTGTTTTTAACGTGTATCTATATGACGATATTTCACCTCTCTGTCCTTTAATGTGTTGATATATTTTATTTATACAGATCTGTATATGATATGGTAACACTTCTTTGAAAGAAATGCAATCACCCTGTACATAAGTGATAATACGTGTGCAGAAAAAGCGTAACCTCAATAGCTACTCACGGTATGCGGTATGACATTAGGATATTATGGTTCTAGCCTCAATAACTGTATAGACTTCGCACTATGCATAGAACTATTATTTTAGCTACTCTTTTGTTAAATTCTAGGAAATTGCAGATGCAGTATGATCTCAATTTTTTTGTGTATCGAATCCATGATTTTTTCACAACACTGAAAGAAAATGTTCGTGGAGGGAAAATGTCAAACATATATTCCGACTACATACATATGTACATACTAGAGATGTCTTTCAAGTTTTGCATATAGAAACATAGTAGGCCGCGCGGATCAAACGTCAGTACTGAATCTTAACCTCACTCTTTAGTAAAGTTAAATTCAAAGTTTCGCAACAATACGTGCAGTGTTCTCACTACAGTGAATTTTTAAGTGTCACCAAGTCATTAGAAAAAATGGTACTCAACCGAGAACATTTTCGCACCATAATTTATTACAACTTTCAGAGACAATTATCGCAACAAGAATGCCTTGCTGAGTTACTGTCTGTTTTCGGCAACGAAGCGCCACATCGGTCGACAATTTCCCGTTGGTATGGAGAATTCAAACGTGAACGGGTGAGTCTTAGCGACGATCCCAGGGTGGGTGCACTAAAAACGGCAGTCACCCAGGAAAACGTCGATGCTGTGCGCAAACTCATCATTGAAGATAGACATGTGACATATCGCGAGATTGAGGTGTCCTTGAAGATCTCAAAGACCTCAATTCAAAAAATTTTACATGAAGAATTAGGAGTAAGAAAATTAGTTTCTTGTTGGATATCCCACCTGTTGACTGAAGAGCAGAAAGCAGCCAGGGTTAATTGGTGTCAAGAAACACTTGACCGTTTCAATTCCGGAAACTCAAAAAATGTGTACAGCATTGTTAGTGGTGATGAATCGTGGATTTACTGTTATGAACCAGAAAATAAACGACAGTCGGCTGTTTGGGTGTTCCAAGGTGAAGAAAAGCCAACAAAAGTCATCAGTTCTCGAAGTGTTTTGAAAAAGATGGACGCGACGTTTGTATCAAAAGCGGGTCATATTGCAACAATTCCTCTTAATGAGCAAAGAACTGTTACTGCGGATTGGTATACCACCATTTGTTTGCCAAAAGTCAGCTTCGAAAAATCAATCCCGAAAGAAGAATCATCCCCCACCAAGACAATGCAAGCTCGCAAACAGCCCAAAAAACAAGGCAGTATTTAACGGTAGAAAACGTGGAATTATTTAACCATCCTCCATATAGTCCCGATCTAAGTCCTAGCGATTTCTTTACTTTCCCGAAAATTAAAAACAGACTGCGTGGTCAAGTGTTCCAGTCACCAAAAGATGATGATTTTTTTCCTGGGCTACCATTAATAGTTTGTTGAGATAAGTATTTATTTCATTACAAACTAGCACGGTATGCTAAAAACAAATTAAATTTGGTTTCAAAACTAAAGTTGTACTAATCACTGTGGAAAAAATGTACCCGACCGAATCAGCAAGGGCAAACAGCAGCGTTGGCGTACTGGTAGACGCTACGGTATCCTAACCAGTCGCCGTGCGCTGCGCGGATTTGAATCCCGTCAAAGAGAAATTTTTCTCTTAGCTATGGATTTTGTGATTGTCCTTACGTGGTAGATGGTCTCTGACTGTCGTACGCAGAGGTACCATCCGGCAGATCTCGTAGGCGGGGCCAGAATGTGTGCATGTTGCATGCACACGTGTTCCCTCACTAGAGTCCGTGTGGCGTTCCCTTCCCTTTCACCTATATTCCCCTATTGACCCACGGTACCCCATAGGTGTTTAGGTCTTAGGCCTTCGTGGCAGCTGGAGTATAAAAAATATCTCGAAAACTAGAAAACTCTTTCTGAGGTCATGTTGATCTGAAGCCAATCTACCTCCCGTGTCACTCTGGCGTGTTATTTTTGGGGCACCCTGTATTTATTGTTTTTTCGGTTGTCATATGACATGATGAATGTCAAAATATTTGTCTTCTTGTTTTTATTGCCTGTTATGGAGTCGGCTGTATATGTATACTCACGGATGATGTATGACGTTCAAAATAATCCAAAAATATCCCAGAAATCGTTACCATTCGTTGAACAAAAATTGTCATGTTTACATATTTTCTATGTATATATCCGCCTTGTTGGGATTTATGTTTATTTTAATAGGCGTCACATTACCTGCAGGAAATATGAACGATCTATCAGGATAAAAGTAAAGTGAAAACCATTAGCAGCTCTATAATAGATTATTACTTTTTATATAATATCGCTACAATGTACACCATTAATATTACTGTTTTTGTCCTTCTAGCCAAACATAGCGCCAACCGTGCACAGCTATTTCATGCTTATCGGCAATCATCAGGTGGATCTCTAAGAAGGACCACGAATCCTATGGCCTCCCCGATAAGCTTTGCAGATGGGTGGGTGACTTCCTTTCTGGCCGCAAGATATCCGTCATCATTGACGAGCTCCCCTCTTCATCCCGCAACGTCAACGCGGGTGTTCCCCAGGGATCAGTCTTGGCACCGACATTGTTCCTATCACATATCAATGACCTTTCCTGTACGGTCAATTCAATCCTCAGCTTTGCTGATGACAGCACTCTCGCACCGGCGGGCGGTCGGCGATCTACCTCTCTTCTACCGCTACGCGAATGGGCTTTGCTCCTCAGAGCTCTCCTCCATGATGCCGCCGCGCGATGTGCCTGCTAAGCAGACCCTCTCGACTTTAGCCTGTCACCCTCACCGTGTCGAACTTCGTACATCCAGAACTGGCCGAAACGACTGCTCCTTTGTCCCTAGGGTATCAATATTGTTGAACAATCTACATGAGCAGGCTTCTCCTTGTTCTACTAACCTTGGGCAGTTAAAAAATCGCATTAACAAAGTTACTTTGAGCTCCTTATAGCAACCTGAGGTTTTTGCCTGCGCGGCTCCTTCGGCTTTAAAAAAACGAAAACAGAGCAAATGGGAAGTATATAGTCTTTCCATTATGATTTATGCAGCCGGTCTCCAAAATCCCGTACATCGTGAATGTGATCCTTCAGGTGACAAAATGTAAGGAAAACCTGATAACTAATTAAGGCTACATCACTCTGTCCGCTGTTTCTACGTAGATACGCTCGGCCGATTTACCTCTTTTATTCACCAGTCGTTCCCAAACGGCTTATCTTACGCCAGAGTTTGTTACAACCCATCGAGGGGTATAATACCTTACATCATGTTCTGAAAGCTTTTTAAAAGCTCCTGACTGCAACTCAAACAGAAGCGTATCAACGAAAGGGGAATTGATTTTAACTCCCTAGGCGTGATCGAGAATTTAATTTGTTAGATGTTTTATCCATGTCACACATTTGTATCTGCCTGTTGGTCTTTGTTGGCGTAAATCCATGCATCAAAAGCTTGCGGGCCTGCAGGCGAGTAAGCCACTAGCCCATTCCATCCTATGCACTATATGAGCTGTAGTACTGTAGTAGTTTTATCATCCCTAAAAAGTCACGAGGGCGAAATATCTCCAGCTCATGAGGTATTCGTCTAGTTGGCTCAAGAGCTGGAACACATGTTGCTTTTTGTTTATTTCTAAGTTCATTCAGAATGCGACATGTAGCAAAGAAAATGGGAAAAATTCTGCGATCAAGCATCCTAAAAGCGTGTAGACTCCGGGATTGCATTCTTTCCAAGTTCTTTTGGACTACTTCTAGCGTACTAACTGTAGAAACCATTACTGAGATAATAACGTGTGCTCGGGCTTCAAATCAGGCTCGGAATATTCGTTATAAGTCATGTATGACCTGTGTAGTATGTGCATCAATCGTCAGAGATTATATCAGAATATTGCTCAGCACCCTACATTGCTCATTACGGGCTATCTGGGAGGTACGTTTTCTTATCATGAATTGCAGCGCTTCTACATGACCGTTATCATTTCGATCGTGTCATTAGGAATAATTAGGCCGATTATAATTTCGTTGAAAATTATAACATCAACTCTGAGTTGAAACATATATATGTGGAATCTTTTGAAATCCCCTTTTAAGTCATTCGATATCCACAGATTTCTTTGGATTGCCTAGTTTTAAAAATAGGAGCGATGGGTTAAAATGGCGACCGGAACGTTGCCGCCGGGGCATGTGCTGTCAGAGATTGCCTCAGATAGATAGATAACCCCGGATATCCTTGAATTGCTTCTGAAGCTTGAAAGTTCTTAGATTGGGTCAGATCTCCTGTCTCGGATTTCCTTAGATTACTCTGTACCGTGATTTACTTTGGATCACCTTGAATTACTTCGGATCTTCGTGAATTGCCTCTGAAGCTTGGATCTCCTTATATTGCCTCGGATCTCATTGAATTACGTCGTATCTCCTTGAATTGCCCCTGAAGCTTGTACCTTCTTACATTGCCTCGGTTCCCTTGCCAGTGCAATAGAAAATCTCGTCGGATCTTCTTGAACTAGTCCTTGGATCACCTTGAATCACCTCGGATTACCTCCGATCTCCTTGAATTTCATGTGAAGCTCAGATCTGTTTAGATTGCCTCAGATCTCTTTGAATTACCTGGGATCACCTTAAATTACCTCGGATCTCCTTGCGTCGTCTCTGCAGCTTGGATCTTCTTACTAGTACGTATATATTGCCTCGGATCTCTTACCAGTGGAATAGAAAATCTTCTCGGAGCTTCTTTAGTTACCTCCGATCACCTTGTGTTATCTCTGATTACCAAGGATCCCCTTGAATTGTGTCTGAAGATTGGATCTCTTTGTAGTGCCCGGGATCTGTTCACAAGATCTCGTCTATGTCCACCGCCTCGGGTCTGGCATAATATGTGTGTTAGGTGAAAAGTCTTCATGGGCTCAAAGCTCGACTATGGATGGTTTATGAGGTATCTGCCAGGAGGAGTCGTGTCAGTAGCGTTAATGTTTGAATCTATACACATTGTCCGTGATATATGCAAGGCGATTTTACCGATCAGTGGCAAAATTCTGCTTTCACAATACTTTTGATGCGTAAGGAATTAACATTGTGGATGAGGAGAGTTCCATTTGCAATCAAATTTGGATTCGTGGCCCAGTTTTATTTATGATTATTCTGTTTACGTTTTTTGTTGGCATTGAAGGTTATCGACTGAATACTTAGTCTTTTCTTAAATATTGTTTCTACGTTGGAATTATATTTATGCAATTTTGAAACAATTGAATATGTGATTTAGGTAACAAACAAGAAACAATTCGTGGTACTGTTTCATCAGCGTTTGTTTTGTAATTGCAACGAAGGTCAGGTTTGCTGAAAATGACGGACACTTTAACGACATTCCCAAAATATAAATAGTGTTGTTCAGCAGACCAAACAATTCATCCAGCGCCACAAAAACGTTGACCGCGGTAGCTGTTAAAAAAATGGCGTCATTATGCTTATGTTGAGTTTCAGACCTAACGCATATGCATTGTTCCAAAGAAATATATTACAGCATTTACGTGTAAGATATACAGTCGACCTACTTGACACAAAGATTTTTCAGGAGACCGCGTTGCAACTTGTGTTTTGCACTGATACCAAAGATGCAGCATTTACAACTCCCAATTTTCAACCCATGACAATTTTTTTCTGATAATGATTAGGAGCCTCTGAAACGTAAACAAACGAAGTTTCAGAGATTTTTATTTTTTACCTGTTTTTTTGCAATGTTTAGTCAACTTCCACTGTCTAGGTATCTTGTATCAAGTGTTTAGAGCAGATATTGTGAGTTACGTTCAAAGATCTGAAAGCGTCAAAAACGCGTCGCCTAGTCATCATCATTAATCTGCACTTTTGTCCTGTATTGTATTCTTCCAATAACCACGTCAGTAACATTTATCATTGACAAGGAATAAAGAATAATGTGGTACAAATGTATGTTTATATGAGAGATAAGCTACTGTAACTACATACGATATTGCAAATTGATTCATAAGGCGTTTATTAAAACTAAGTTCAAACCACCAATAACACTGCAGCGATGTTCTCTGCCATGTTTACATTTATGGATCTGATAAAGAAATGGTGTCAAGTAGGTCGACTCTGCCCTTCCCACGCAACGCCGTCATCAGTTCATAAAGGATTTTTTAGCACAAGGTAGACCAGGCAAGTTAGTTACGAACAGGTATACAGAGAAATTGATTGGACCAAGTTAGTCAAACCGGTCCAAACAATTAGTTCATAGACATTCTTTCCCTGCCCTACCGGGGTCATTCACCACGTAACTATGTTCTATACAGGGTGTAAACGTTATGGTAGTCATTATTGAAATGGGTAATAGGGGGAGTCAAAACAAGTCAAAAAGTTCATATGACCCATGGTCCAAAAGTCAATAGATTTTTGTCTAAATGACTTTATAGTTTACAACTTTAAGTGCTTTATATCGACCACAATCACCAGAATCTTACTAATTTTTATAATCTAATCTAAAACGTTTTTAAATTGGGTAATTAACAAATAAATGGCATTAAGTTTTTCTATGTTAAGCCAAATTTGTAGTCTCTTATTGAACCTGCAATCGATCGCCAATGGTAACAGTGGTTAGTATGTTGTTTGGTTTTTGTTCGCGTACGTCTACAAAATTTTTAATACGGCTGAAATAATAAATGGACAACTTCGAGGACCTAGAGTAAGAAGAAAGTGGGTTCGTCGTAATGATGCCTGTGTGGAAAGTGTAGGCCGACATTTTGAACACCTTCTTTAAATAAAAAAAGTGCAGTGTGGATTTTAAAAAGAAAAAAAATGTATGTATCAAAATTGTGTTCCCTATTTATGAGTGGATTTTTTTAATACGTTCAATAAACTTTCACACACCAGGTGAAGCGCTGAGACAGTTAGTGGTAAGTCCGTTTTTTTTTAAATGTTTGCATTTTACGAGTACATTATCAAATAATGAAATAATACCTAAGAGCCAAATATAACAAACTCCATCTTTATTTACACTGCGTTCCGTCGTAATTTGCGTCCGGCATTGCGGCGTTGTCAGATTTTATTTTACTTTAAAGTCGCTTTTCTCTAAAAAAATTCCGTTTTGACCCCCATGTCATATGAAACTTTTTGCTTCTTTTAACCCCCTCTATCACCCATTTAAATCATGATAATCATAACGTTTACATCCTGTATATATATATACAACAAAAATAGGAATATATATATACATATATACATATGTATATATATATATATATATATACAACAAAAATAGGAAAATAATGGGCAAAATCCGCAAAAAGTGGATTCGAGCAGAAAATAGGATAGGTAACCCGAGCGATACGTATTTCTGCTGGTTGGCTTCATCAGGCCCGAAATTCTGCTCGAATCCACTTTTTGCGGATGTTGCCCATTATTTTCCTACTTTTTGCTATATACCTTTCTCCGCATCATTTTTTCTTTGTAGATCCTTTGGGCTTGAACTACCACAGCAAGTGGCTATAACCGGCCACGTGGTTGTGGTTAGATGTCATTTTGAAAATTCGAGGTCTTCTAGCCATTTTATACTATAATGTGTAGGTTGGCTCTTGTTGTGGACTTCGTGTGTCTTTTTTTCTTCTCCATCTTCGTTTCCTCAGGTTACACCCGTATCCGGATGTGTGGGCATGTGTATCTACTTTTGTAGTTGCATATGTGCATTCATTTCGGGCCTGATGAAGCCAACCAGCAGAAATACGTATCGCTCGGGTTACCTATCCTATTTTCTGCTCGAATCCACTTTTTGAGGATTTTGCCCATTATTTTCCTATTTTTGTTATATACCTTTCTCCGCATGATAATTTCTCTTTATATATATATATATATATACGTATATATGCATAGAGGAGGTGTGTTAGGTGCATAGCAAGTACAGTGTAGAAAAGAATTTATAAAACCAAAGATCATGAATTTGCCTTGTGCTTACATTTATTACTGCCTCATTACTCTCACGCATATTTAGGACAACCCACCAAGAAATCCATTCATACAATACTCATAAGTCAAACTACTACGTAAAATATCACAGAATGACCAAAACCAGAAATGGCGTTAACTTTCTTGGCTTGAAACTTTTCACTGCCTTACCTCATCAGACAAGAGCTCTATATATTGTCGACTTTATTGGTTTTAGGAAGAGTTTTCTTTTATCAACAGCTTTATTTGACATTCATGAATTTATGTCTTACGACTTCTCAGTTTTAACATAGCTTTCCCATTTTTTTGGCTACCCTTTGTTTGTCTTATTAATAATTTATTGTTTGTTATTTCATTATCTCTTTGTGTGTATATATGTGTATATATATATATATATATATATATATATATATATATATTTATTTATATTCTGCTCTGACCTGTGTAAGCACATCACGTACATTACACCCATAAATTATTATTATTATTATTATTAATCCATCTGCCTACGTCGCATTTCTCCGATACCTGACCTCACAACGCGTCAAACACGGCAACACGGCAGTAACGCCAGAGCACTTACTAACACCGGTACGCTCGCCGGTGATCCCATACAGCAGAAGCAGTGACGCGTATCGAACGAGTTTCGCTATCATTCTGTCTTAAGGAAAAATAAACGGAGAAATCTATAATAATAAGACACATATTGAAATTAAAAAATGACCGACATATAGATCGACAGACAGACAGACCGACGAAAATGAGTAACATGGTTTTTTGTGATGTAAGAATGCGAGGTACTGTATCTGGGAACCTATCCATCGTAGAGGCTTGCCGGAAAAACAGTTATTACTAATACGGCCAAGAGAAAAACCTGGAAAATATTTTCAGGTTTCTGAAATGGCCGCTAGGGGGCTGCAATCTTGAATCTAAAAAAGTGATGATTCTGTGAATTCCGCTATATGAACCTAACAAAAAAATACCTGATCTTTAAATTCGAGGATAATCTAACCTGTTTTGTTTGACCATTTTTGATGTGTCTCTAAAAATAATTCTTGGGCTACAATTGTTTTAATATATGAAGTTTTGTTAGTTTCACATGTGGCCGCTAGACGGCATTTTTCGACATTCCGACAGACATTTTTTTATAAAAAAGTAGCTAAATGATGTCTAAACAAGCTCGCAAAAACCGCATCTCGATATCTTGTTTCTAACCTAAAATTTAGGCCAAAGAAAATTTCATACGGAAATGCCTTAAATTTTATTTTTTAAACTAAATTTTCTGGAATTCTTTTCTATGTATCAGATTACAATACTTCCTCGTCAGTAGGCAAAAAATGGCTAGCAAACTCTACCTGGTTACATCCTTGATTACATTTGATATCCATACTTTATAAGCATACCCATACCATTTTTTTTCTTGTCACTGCAATAATGTCCATGTTTAAAATTTTCTGACCTGCATATAAATCCTTCCTAGCTGATAGTCTCCCCAGTCCACGCTATTCATTGCTCACAAAAAAATACTATGTATTAAGTAGGTCTGGGTGATCAGATTTCTTCGAAATATTTCATCTGTTATCTATGTTGCTTTGACATAGTTTTGAAAAAGGTCAATGACAATCATTTTGTAATACGCATTGATACGCGAGCGACAATAGCAGGATAAGGAAGAAATATTTATAGTTTTTTTCCTACGTCGCTGGGGCGGAAGCATTGTAATCGCGAAATATTTCAAAAATGAGGTGTTACTTCTCACGCCATTGGAGGGGAAGTAGTGTAATTGCGAACAATTTCGAAAATGAGATAGGAGTTTTAGATGTGATATGATTTGTACAGTCTGCGAAACCCAAAAGTTCGACAATCTTGACCAAACAGACAAGGCTAGAAATCGCTTCAGAATGAAGTAACCTCAAATTTATAATTTTTAGAAGAGTTTTTAAATACTGAATATACCCATTTTTAGGACTTTTCAGACATTAAAGCACATATAACTTGAGAGATTTAGAGAAAATTTAATGGAGTCCGTTTTTGTTCGAAATGATATGAAAAAAATGTATCCAGTCGAAAAAATTAATTTATTTAAAAAAATTGGTAAAACAAATTTGATATCGGTTACTGTGGAGGTATATTCAATGCTTAAACACTCCGCTAAGAATTATAAAATTTGAGGTCCCCAAGAAGCTAAACCTTGTCCTTCAAGAACTTAAAGAGTATTTTGAAAATATTTTATTTTAATGCGATTTGAACCTTGATTTTCATGCCGAAATTCATCAATTTTTGGTACAAAGTCAGTTGTAAATGACAAATATTTTAGGAAAGTCCGTTGTACCTTTTCTAAGTTCTGAATATATAGGTTGTGATAAGCATACTAGATGATTGAGCATTATTCAAGCTTTGGCCTTACTGTAGTGAGATATAAGGTTTTAATTATTTGAATGTTGTTAAATAATCTGCCATTCCTTATCACAAAGCCTAGTGATTTGGAGGATACTTCTTCAATGTGGCTGGCGAGCGATTTAGCGTATTCGAGCAAACTTTACATTTTCCAGCGTCCATATACAATTTATTTCCCTCACGCCATGTTTCTATAATTTTCAGCTGATTTTGGAAAAATTGACAGTCAGACCTTTTACTGTGCAGAAAATTTTCAAGATATTCGCGAACTGGAGCTAAGTCATTTATAAAACCCTTGACGTGCTTAAATATCAGACTCCACCAGATTTAGAAACGGATCATTAAAACCTATCTTTGATGCCTTCCATAGTAACAGTGAATGCTGTGTAAATTACATCGACTTGTTCTTTCTTGTCAAATTCATCAGCTATGTACGGCTAAGTTTGATAAGGTTGATCGTTTTCTTATGGAGCCGTGTTACGACTTTGCTATAGAAGGTCTCATTTGAGTAAGCATTTGCTCGTAAAGTATCATTTTGAATACCTTAGAAAAATTGTACAAAATTGATATGTCTCTATAGTTTTCCACTGAAGATTGCTGACCTGATTTAAAAACTGGATGAATTTTAGCGATACATAACACCGTATATTTGCGTTTAAAACTTCTATCGAGGTGGGTAGCTGAGGTTAGTCAACAAATCTTACAGTTTCATAATTCATAGTTCTGGAAGTTATTTCCAATTTTATTGTGTGCTTGCATATGACAAATTCAAGCGAGTCAAATAAAAATGATATCATTCAAGTTGATAAATAGCTATGGTACGCGTTTGCTGTTTTATCGCTAGGACGATATATTGCAAATATCGAAATTAGTAATTAATTTGTAACGAGCTAAGTTGATCTTTGCCTTCTGAGTGAGCATATCTCATATTTTTTAGTCATCTGTGTGTAGCAGCATGTATATTGCATGTTTTGTTCGCAGACGTTGATAAAAATGTCAAGTAGGTTGATTCGGCACGCCTGCCGTCATAGCTGAAAAATCAGTAAGATACTGAATCAAGCTATTTTATTGTTTTTTTTTTTCGTTACAGCAGCCAACGTCATATTGGCATCCACCGCATCTGAATGTTTACCACTACCTTCAGTCGACATTTTAAGCTCCGTTTCCATATCAGGTATTTTTATTTCTGATTTTTTCCATAGAATAGAAAACATTTTATACTATCAACTACTGAAACTGACACCTCATCCCCGACTAAGCCAGTGTTGCCTTTTGTGCTACCTATGATGACCGGCTGTATAATACTAAGAAAGAAGTAATTAGTTGAGGCTACCGTTTTTTTTATTTGTTGTTTATTCTTATATACATAATTTGTATTTTTTGTTGCTTGCACCTAACCTGTGAAATTACTATACTAAGTGACATATAAATCCGAACACCCAGTTTAAATGGTTTTATTTTAATAAAAGTTGGTGAATGTATTTATCTTACTGTAAATAACAAGTGAAAAAATGTTCAGCCTTATCAGTTGGACATTCCGGTTTTTATACTGCTTTTTTTTAATTCACTAACGTTCTAAAAATGAATATTTCAGCCGCAGTAAAGAATCAACGTTGGCGGATTTTGGTTCTTGACATCCTTTACGATCGGTTACGATGCCTAGAGTACGGAGACCTGTACGATTTCGTCAACTTAGTGAGTTTGATAGGGGCCGTATAGTGGCACTTCGGGAAGCTGGACTTTCTCTTCGGGCAATTGCAGTTAGAGTGCAAAGAAGTGTAGACACTGTGGTTAGGTGTTGTCAGGCATGGCTTCGAGAAGGGGCACTGGACGCCGCCGTAGAACAACATACCGTGAAGATCGCCGCCTAAGATTATTGGCCTTAAGGGACCGTTTCTCCACTACCAGGTCCATTGCAAATGAATGGTTTGCAGAACACGGAAGACCTATTGGCATGCGAAGTGTTTACCGACGAATGAGAAGTTTTGACTTGTTTTCATACCGGCCACACTGGGTCCTCCCTTTAACTCGAGAACACCGACGTAATCGCCTTGAGTGGTACAGACAACGGTCACTCTGGGATCAGGAATGGAACAGTATTGTCTTTAGTGACGAGTCTCGATTTCGTTTAGGCATGCACGATGGTCGTGCCAGGGTTAGAAGGCGACGTGGTGAAAGGAGGAATCCACAGTTTTTTGTTGAAAGACATGTTCATCACACTGTTGGAGTTATGGTTTGGGGTGCTATAGCTTATCGTTCCAGGTCTTCTTTAATCTTCATCAGAGGTAACATGAACGCGCAGCGTTGTATCCACGAAGTTCTAGAACCCCATCTTTTACCCTATCTTGACACCCTGGCAGATCCAACTTTCCAACAAGATAATGCCCGACCAAATGTTGCAAGAGTTACAATAGACTTCTTTCAACATAATGATGTCACATTGTTACCATGGCCACCAAGATCTCCCGACTTATCCCCAATTGAGCACGTGTGGGATATGATGGTTAGGAGATTGCTCAATTTGCAACGTCCTCTTCAGACTCTAGAAGCACTTCGAAAGGAGTTGGTGGTTGCCTGGAATGAGATACCACAGGAGGACATTGACCACCTGATCAGAAGCATGCCTAGGCGCGTTGGAGAATGCGTAGCACATCAGGGTGCATCCACACATTATTAAAGGTCAAAGGGCTTTAAAGCAGTGCAATCATTTTGAAATTTTTATCATTTACTTATCATGCTTCATTATGTACTTATACAAAATTTTATTAAAATAAAACCATTTAAACTGGGTGTTCGGATTTATATGTCACTTAGTATATTAGTAAATTATCATCAATAAATAAATAAAATAAAATGAAACATACTGTGACATTTGAACATAGTGATGCTGGCGACTCATTTGTTTTCACTTTTTTTCGATACATCTCGCTTTTAGTCGTTTTTCATTGAAACCATTCACTTTTCTCACTATTTTCGCTCTCCTTTCTTTTTTAATAAAAATCAACTATGACAACAGTTGTTCATGTACATACAGGGTTATCCCCAAGCTGAGTCAATATGCATTGCATGAAATTATAGGATTCGCTGAAATATACGTTAAATTTTAATTCAGCTTTGTTAAATACCGAATCCCAGAAATAACACGCCAGAGTGACACGGGAGGTAGATCGAATTCAGATCAATCAGATAAAATCAACTTGACCTTAGTAAAAGTTTTCTAGTTTTCGAGTTATTGCCACTTTAAGTTATTTAAAAAATCAATACTTTTTGCTCCTTTTTTGCCTGTTGTGGCTATAACGAACTTCTAACTTATGATTTTTTTCCTGGGCTACAATTAATAGTTGGTTGAGACAACTGAGTATACATATAAAAACATATTACATTTGGTTTCAATGCGAAAACCTTTACTAAAACTTGACTAATCACTGTGTATGTATATATTGAGCCATGGAAATGCTGGCATAAATCAATACCCGTTTGTGGCGCATTCTTATTGTTAACATCAATATTTTACCTGTTACTGTCTGTCTAATTTATTTATGTATTTCATATCGTTAGCGTCTTTTATTATGAACATTCTTTATTTTACTTTTATTGTAATTGTTACACTGAAAGCTTCCACCAGACACGTTGTATATGTAAATTGTAAGTGTTGCTGTTTTAAAAGGGTTAAGTGGAAGAATAGCTTATGGCTAAGCTTCGCCACAATAAAGACCTATTATTGCTATTAACTTTAAAAACGAACGGTCCAGGGAAATGTTAACTTGGCGTATGCACCGACTTAGGGCCAGTGCAAGTGTCCTTTGCCCTTTATCCGGCTAATGCTTCCTTGAACGCCTCCTATGTTTAGGTAACATTCCGTATACGTGAATGTTTACATCGCTTTGGGAAAAACGTTAAAAGCAGGCAAACCGCTGTGAAGAGTTGAACGGAATTTAGGATAAACGCGACATACATTTTTTATGGTCGCATTTACTCTATTTACAAAGCTACCCTTTTAACCTCATAAATATTGGATTTTCCGCGTCAGAGACAGACAAAATACGGGAGTGAAATTTTGAAACTCTATAAAACACGAGCACACATCTGATGTGCATCCGATAAACATGTACGTTTTTAAAACATACAAAAAGCTAACTGCAATAACTGGATAGAATGAAGCTTTAGTCGTGCTATCAGATGTCAAAATGTATATTGGTTCGATTATTGTTGATTTTAAGAGACAATGGGATTTTGAATTTTAACGATTAAATCAATTAGATTTTGAATTTTTTTGTGTAAGCAGTAGTCACCGCTCTACTATTTCTGAATTCCTGAAAAAATCCTTATTTAGAAAATGAATGTACATGCAAATTCCGCCTAGGACATTGTCCATTTCAGTCGGATGGGACGCTCAACACTCCCGTGCCGGACCCCTCAAATGAAAAATTTTGAGCTGAGCCCGTCAAATAGAAATTTCAAATTGAAATTTGCGTTAAAAAACCGTTATTTCGGTTTTATAAAATTTCCCTATACCCTTTGTTACTCGTATTTCAAGGCAAATCTAAAGACACGAAATAGGTAAAAATCCCTCGAGCCACTTAAGCTGTAGGTCGTGAAAAAGACATTATCAATTGAAATCCATCGTTTCTTTCATAACATTTTATATACCCAGATACCCAGTGCCGATCACGCAACACCTCATATGTCAAAATCAATCAAGCCGTTTGAACTGTAACCGGTGATATAGAATTGTTTTCCACATAATGCTCTCGCGCGAAAAACATAACTCTCCTTCTGAGACGATCGAATAAAAAGGTTACATCTTGTCGGATTATAGAGGTCGGATATGATCCATGCTGCCTGTCGCTAGTCAAGGCGTGGTATTCGAAATATTCTACGACGGCGGTCTAATAAGTGCTTGGCTGACAAAAAAAATTAGAAAAGTGGCGATTCATTTCTCTACATAATCTCCTTTAAGGTCGATACACTTGACCCAGCGATGTTCCAACTTCTTTAACTCGTCTGAAAAATACGTTTTCTGAAGGTCATCAAAGTAGGCCTCCGTGGCGGCGATAAACTCTTTCGACTATAATTTCTGCCCGGCGTGTTACTTTTTCAGGAAGTAGCACGGAGCCAAATCTGGAGAAAACCATGGATGGGGCAGCAGTTTGTAGCCTAATTCGACCAATTTGGCTGTGGCGACGGCGGAGGTCTGAGCCGGTGCGTTGCCATGGTGGAAGGGCACTTTTTTTCGCCAAATAGGGCCTTTTTTTCTGCAATTCGACCCAATAATTCGACAGAGTATATCCCTGTGACCGTTCTGCCCTTCTCCAGGTAGTCGATGTAGATCACACCTTGTGAAGCCTTTCCGGCCGATAGGACAGTCTTCGCCTCCTTTGGAGCACGTTCTCCGGGTGAATTCCACTGTTTAGACTGTTCCTTGATGTCTGGTGTGCACCAGTTGATCCATGTTTCTTCGACGGTAACCGCCGCGAAATGACGCAGAAACTTCTTCGGATTGCGCTTAAACAGCGTCAAATATTGCTCTGAAGTGGTCTCACGCTTGCGCTTGTTGTCCGGCGTGAGCAAACGCGGCACCCATCGTGCAGACAGTTTTCTCATGCCCAATATTTCATGCAGGATATGACCCACACGATCTTTTGGATTTTTGTCACGTTATTCTCCATGGTAGCCGTTTTCCGGGCACCTAGGCGTGGCTCATCAAAAACCGACGTACGACCACGTTGAAACTCGTTTAACCAATTTTTGACGGTTGCCTTCCAAAAACAAGAATCGAACCACCGACCGATATTGCTCTTTTTCCATTTTTCTAAAATCCGCGGACACGTCCACTTTCACACACGGCCAAAACAAAACTACGAGTCCGATTCGGCTGAAATTTTGACAGTAGTAAGTTTCTCTTGCGATAGTCGCGCCATCGGGCGGTGAAGTTAAGTACTTATCGGACCGCCCTCGTAGAAGCTCGTTTTTATCCAATTTTTCATTACCTTGCTGATAACAGAAGATATAGGTCTCAAGCAGCAAGAGTCGGTCTTACATCCTTTTTTTGCGTCGGTCTAAACATGAGTAAAATTTCAATTATCTGGAAAAGTACCGGAGTCGTATGATATCTGAAAGAGAGTTTCCCTTACATTAGCTATACAGGGTGTTCATTTGAAAACTTCCTACCAC